CGCCGTGAGGTGTTCGGCGAGTCGCATGAAGGGTGCGCTGCATCCTGCTAAGGGTGTTTGGCATCTTGTGCTTACTTCCTGCTTACGGATGACAGCTGCGTATGACATTATTCATTTTCTGGTGTTCACTTCCAGAGACAGTTATTGGCACTGTGTAACTGCCTCGAGGGTGCTTGACCATTTTAACACAACGTGGTGCGATCCCCCTTAAGCGGAGTGAGGTTTCTCCACCCCGCACAACATGATCCACTCGACGACCATTCATTATGGTTACCGCCAAAAAAAACAGAGGTAAAAAACAAACAGTAACCTGGTTGCGGAGCTCACGAAGTGAATTGGCTTGTCTTACAACGTCGTTGCCAAAAAAATGCAATCTTAGACGTGTTCACAACAAGTAATATTTTGCCCGAGCTGCCCCAACTGCTACCTTTTCAATCCATGCTCGGTGCGTCGAGATGGTACAGAGTCGGTACCCAACTTGAAGCAGGGAAGTTTCTGGCCCCTTGCAACACCGAGAGGAGGCGTCGTTTGAGTTTGAACAAAGACAGATAGCGGTCGCCCCGAACAACATAGAATATTGATTGGTGAAATTTAGAGCGAAGCATCTGATTGAGAGCGAGATTGCGCGATGCGCTGCAGCTGGACTACTGCTGAGACGTGGAGCTTGCTGTGTGTGTGTGTCTTTATTATTAGCATCGACCGCGCTAACCGGCTGACCAATGAAAAGACGTCAGTCTTAGTGCGGTTGAAAACACAAAACACTTCTATCTACCATGAACTGGGACCCCGTGAGGGGGCAGCATGGGGNAACGCCCTCTTCTTTGGCGTTTCCTCGCCTACTACTTTCTGCAAGTCTGTCTCCACCATGTGGCGCACTGCTGCATGAAGAGGTTTCGAAAGGAGAGCTTGGGCTCCAAAGACTTGGTAGTGTTGACCAAATTCATTTCGGCTGAAGGTAGACGGTGGTTGATGTTCTACGTCAGGGTTTCCATCTTCACGGGGTTTTCCCGCCTTCCCTGCTTCCAACAAGTAAACTCCTTTGAGGGCGGGGGTTAACTCATCACTTGTGGCAAGTTTAGCCCATGACTGTGTGTGTGTGTGTGTGTGTTTTCGTCCTATTTATTATGGCGACAGTCCCCCCATTTTTCGTGGTGAAACGACGTGTGTGTACTACACTCTTCAGCGTAGTATGTAGAGTACTACTCTACACTTTTCAGTGTATTTTTCGCACAGCTACAACCATCCAGGGTCACACAGGAGGGGGTAAAAACCAGGTCTTTTTTCTTCTTTTTATTTCTTTTCATGCCCCACCTTCCTCCTGCGCTGCGTGCTGAAATTTATTTTCATCGCGAGAAGGGTCCAGCCGTCCCTTTCTCTCGTCAACGGTGCTAACGTCGAAGTTTGGTACTCACGAGAGCTTTTTAGCTATGTTCCGCTTTCACCCGCAAATTTCGTAAATTTTTCACCCCATGGGGATTTGAACTCACGACCTCTGCGGCCAGCGGATTACGAGGATACCACCAGACCACCGGAGCGACCAGGTGCTGTGTAGCTTGAATTGAAGGGCCAGCCCGTAGCTACAAGCAGAGTCATCCTGTGGGAGTCTCTCGATGTGGAGTTCCAGCGGCGAACAGAAGCTGCAGCAGAGCCCACCGCCCGAGGCCAAACCGCCCGGCAACAGTTCGAGGCAGGAATAGCCAATCTGGGGAAATCTAGCAACTTGTCTAGCTCCTAGCTGCAGCATCCGATGACGATGACACGCATACAGTGCCGGCCCGCACTTCCGAATATGGCACTTCAGAATTTGTTGCTCAAAAAATCCAAAACTTAAGCATTTACCGATAAGAATACGTGCTCAGCTGCACGCCCTGTTAGGAACAAGAACACACACCTGAGGTGCAAAACTGCTGCTACAAATAAGAACGACAGCAATGCAGCGGCTGCCAGATAAGAACACTCGCAGGGGGAGGGAGGGAAGAGGGGGGAGTGATCCCAGAGTACAGAGTATTGGATTTGGGAGGGGTACANTTCGGAGTGCACGGACGAGGTGCAGCCAGTTGATGCAGGAGCCGGACGATTTCCCAAGGTGGAAGTCGGGAGGCAGATGGACATGTTGCTCGAGCAGCCGGACAACCTCGAGAGGTGGGAAACCGCGTCGCTGACAGCTTCTGATCGGCGCGTCCTGATCACTCAGTGGATGGGAGCGGCCATGGCAAGACTCGACAGCCAACAGGCGTACCGATACCGTCTTTTCGAAAAGTGCGGGATGGCCATGACCGTGGACGGCTCGGGCGATGATCGAATCACCTTGGAGGGTTTGGACAAGCCGTATACTTTCGCTAACGATGAAGACAGTAGCGACGACGAACAAGGTTCGGAGAACGGCAACGATGAGCCTGAGGGGCGGGCGGAGGAGGGCGATGGAGGACGTGAGACGCTCATGGAGGGCGTTGACTCCAGCGATGAAGACGACGGCGGTAAGTTTGTTTTGCACAAAACCAACTCTTCGTCTTGTTTTTGTTGATGACGATGTCCTTCATGTTGACGTTAGCTTGTTTCCGCGCACGGCTACACTCAAATTGTGATAAGTTCAGGTTGAGGTTGGCGACGTGACACCCTAACTTCTTGTGTTTCCCGTTGCCTCGTTCGCAGACATGTCTCAACCCCAGACCGACGAGCTAGCTCTTCTGGACGACGACGACAGCATGGAGCCACACGACCCGGAGGATGAGATACAGGGAATGGAGATCCCGTCAGGCTTTCGTATTCAAGAAGCTAAACCCGTTGCTCTCGACAGATTGCTTTTGCGACGTGGAGTGCTCGTTGGGCTGGGCATGGGGTGGTTTGGAGGGCTGATCACTCAACAATCTCAGAAGGACACTCGCCACCTGTACGACTACTGTGTGCAGCTGGAGCTAGACCAGAGTACGCGCAAGGTGAAGTTGCCCTTAGACAAGAACAGCGGAGATTCGGATGCGGCTGTAGGCTCCTGGTTCTTAATTTTTATTTTCTGAATACCACACAACAAATCCATCTCTATGGATAGAAATAAGTCTAAGATAGATTAGCAATGAATCCATAGTGTGAGCGAAAGCTACCCTGTATGACTGCGGTTTCCCAGACAGCTCCGAAAACCAGGAGAGGTGGGGGAGTAGCTCAGACGAATGGCTGCGTGTGCGCTCCTTCATGTGCATACTTGGCTGACTCTTTGAAGGGTAGAATTCTGGTTCAGTGGAATTTTGGCGGCATTTCGGCATTATTTCCGGTATTTGCCGTTGCACCTGGATGCATGGGACACGTAAATATGCCACTCTACTTGCAAGGGACACGTTTCATTTTCAGTGTTCCCCCTTGCGTTTTCGCTTGAGAGCATTAGTAGATCAGGAAGAGTACGCAGGACAAACGTCACCATTGTGGACCAAGAAGGTTGACAGTTGCTGCTCCATGCGTTGGTATTTTCTTGTATCGACAGCAGTACTACTAGTGTTGCTCATGGTTGACAGCCGACAATATGGCAAATAATGTTAAGATACTGTAAGAACAAGAACGCCCCTTTCTGGAGAAGAATGGACGACGAAATAAGAACTTGGCAAATAAGAACTGGTGCTCGAGTTGGGGCAGCCAACAAGAACTGAGCCTCGCCCAATATAGGAGGTTCTTAAGTGCGGGCCGGCACTGTATGCTCGTGACGCTGCTGATGAGACCTTCAATTTGCGCCGCTTCTTGGAAGAGCCCGCCCCTACTTCCCAAGAAATGGCAAGAGGCGTCTGGACTCGAATTGATTTTTTTCTGGCTCTCGCTCTCAATTTCTTGCTTCGCTCTAAATTTCACCAATATGTTGTTCCCGGTGGTCTAGTGGGTAACCTCGCAGCCTACTAAGGGCCAGGTCATGGGTTCGAGTCCCGGCAGAGTGAGTTTTTTCTCTCACTGAATAAATCCTGGTCTAGGATGAAAGCGACGTTCTGCAAAGCTCGTTGTTAGTAAACCATAATCGACTTCGTAAGTCGCGAGGGAAGGGATTGCTGTACCCTTCTCGCGATAAAAATACCTCAGGCAGGAACCGCAGGAGGGGGTCCAGCCCCCCCCTCCTATGTGACCCCGGTTGGGTCGTCTAGCTAGTAGAAGTGGAGGATAGGGGCCAGAGGGGCAGACGACAGAATCCAATGATGGGAGAAAAAAAAAAAAATGATAGCCTCGCACACCGCACACCACACACCACACACACAGATGTTAAGGAGTGTGGCTGCTAGCATGAATAGGGTACATCTTAATAATATTCTTGATAGGATGCGGGTCGGTCAGGAGGTATACCCTTCTGACCCCTACCCCCTTAGAATTGTCTACTCTGTGTACCCCCTGAGATGCAGTTGGATCCCCACTTCATCCCAGACCTTTGCTGATCGCTTCTCAGCAATAACAAGCTTTCCCATCTCAACGTGGTCGTGGACAAGCGTGTCAACGACAGAACCTTCATCTATCTCTAGGAGCAAGCCACCGCCCACGGCATCACTTCTTGAAACTTGGAGTCAGCTGGCATTACATGGTAAGCGGGTGCTGGACGCGGCTTCCACACTGCTGTGTGTTGTTGCCACGCTTTTTTCACAACCACCGGGTTGCTTGTTATTTGGTCTCACCACCCACGAGAATCTAGACTTAGCCTCTTC